TTTTTCTTTCTCTTTTCTTTCTTTCTTTCGTTTTTCTTTCTCTTTTCTTTCTTTTTTCTTTCTTTCTTTCTTTCTTTCGCTTTATTTCTTTTGCTTTCTTTTTCTTTCTTTTTCTTTCGCTTTCTCTTTCTTTCTCTTTCTTTCTTTCGCTTTCTTTCGCTTTCTTTCACTTTCTTTCTTTCGCTTTCTTTCGCTTTCTTTCTCTTTCTTTCTTTCGCTTTCTCTTTATTTCTTTCGCTTTCTTTCTCTTTCTTTCTTTCGCTTTCTCTTTATTTCTTTTGCTTTCTTTCTGTTTCTTTCTCTTTCTTTCTTCTTTCTTTTTTCTTTCTCTTTTCTTTCTTTCTTTTTTCTTTCTCTTTTCTTTCTTTTTTCTTTCTTTCTTTCTTTCTTTCTTCTTTCTTTCTTTCTTCTTTTTTTTTTCTTTCTTTCGTTTTTCTTTCTCTTTTCTTTCTTTCTTTCTTTTTTATTTCTCTTTTCTTTCTTTTTTCTTTCTTTCTTTCTTTCTTTCTTTCCCAGCAGAATCGCAAAGTAGACTTTAAGCAAATCAACGAGTGAATTACCCACTGCTTTAAAACGGATATCCGTTGGACACGATTCAAGTTAAACGCACAAAAGCAGGCACACAAAGATATTTAGTAATGTTGAATTTTACTGAAAATGGCCGATTAAGCAGATTATGTTCTGAAATCTATTTCTAGGTTTTGTTCTGTGTGCATTAAATTACATTTGGATGTAAATGGTCCTTTTCCTGACATAAATGTAAAACACTGAGCTGCTACAACGGTGCATCTTGCGGATCACCTTTATGAGACTGTCCAGGTCTGGAGACGTCAAGCTTTGGCATCTTCATCTGTGCTGCGCATCTCTCTAATTAATTAAGCTACTTCAAAAACAGCGATTTTACACCTCGTTGCTGAGGAATATAATGTAGCGATCTAGTATGTAGGCTATTTTATTAATAAAAATTGCGGGGAAGCGTTGACAACAAGTTTATGTGCATATAGAACAGTGATTAAACTGACTTGGAACTACCTGTGCATTAAAAGGTTTTACTGTATACCTGCCAGCGAATCCAGTATTCAGACAGACCATGGAATAAATACTAATATACAGTATATTAAAAAAATCAATTTATATATATCATAAAATAGATATGAATGCAAATTATAATGCACATGCCCATTGTAGTTTTGTTGTGTGTGTGTGTGTGTTTCAGGAAGTTGTTCAGCACGCTATATTGAGCAGACGGATCCCACATGCGCAGGCTTTCCTGCGCAGACGCGGCTGTGTTGAATGCAGTCTGGAGGACATCAGGAAGACAGGACTGAGACGCACCTTCACCTGTCTCACTCACAGAGACCTGCAGCAGGCCAAAACACTGCTGACTCACATGGTACACACTCCAGATTAGCACACAAACATCTCCGTCTCACAATATTACGTGTGTTTCTTAAGAAGTCTCTTCTGCTCATCAAGGCTTCTGTAAAGATATGAAATATTATTCCAATTTTACAATTTATTCCTGTGATCAAAGCTGAATTTTCAGCATCATTACTCCAGTCTTCAGTGTCATACTATCCTAATATGCTTTTTTGCTGCTTTTCTGATTATTATCTGATTATGCTGCCCAATATTTTTGTAGAAACGTGATGCATTTTATTTTTCATGATTCACAAATGAATAGAAAGTTCAAAAGAACAGCATTTTTTTTTAAATAGAAATCTTTTGTGACATTGTAAATGTCTTCACTGGCACTTTTGATCACTCCTTGATTATTAAAAGTATAAATTTTTTTATTTTGTTTTTAGGGCTTCAATGTGAAGGAGCAGCTCCACAGCATCTGCGTTTTCACCGCCGATCGGGATCTAAGGGCCTTCATGGTGAAAATAAACCCTTAAAGAGACAAATATGTTTTGTTTTGAGGATTGATTGCTCAGTTTTTACAAACCAGACTCCCACTGGTTGAATTAGTTTTTTTTGTGTGATCAACAATGTCATTTCAAGGGTTAATTTAGCTGGTTTGCGTTTCCAGGTGGAGGAGCTGCAGAAGCAGAATTACCTCTCGTGTGAAGAGCTACAGCAGGTGGAGTTTATTCAGACCATTAATAACTTGTGCTCGACACCTACGACGAGATGCTCGAACCGTCTGGACACCAGCAGGCGAGTGTTTCTCTCTGATTGTCTTCTTCAAATGTTGTTTCTCATCTATTATTGATGCAACAGTACAGTAAATGATGTTTGGAAGAGAGCTGGTCAGGATTAGACGATGTTGGGAGCAGTGTTAATTTAGTTGGCGAATAGTTTTCGTCAACAACGTTTTTCAACAAGACGATAACAATCTAAAACTCGTTTTGAAAAACTATGACGAAAATCTATTGATGTTTTCGTCAACGAATAAACACAATTTGGTCTTACTGTTCACGTAAACACAGTCGATTATGTCTTAAGTATTTCATACTGTAAAGCTGCTTTGACACAATCTGTATTGTTAAAAGCGCGATATAAATAAAGGTGACTTGACTTGAACATAAACAGTAAGAGAATATAGGACGTGTATTAATGCATTGCATCCGTGCATTGGGTTTTAAAGGGACAGCAGTCTAATTTAGTTGCTATTGTCCGAGTCACTGATGTTAATCCAGCAACAAAAGAAAGACAGAAAATCACTCACTGCTCTTGACTGAATCACTTTAGTAGCCCTAATAAAGATTAATCTAAATTTATTTATAGAAATAAATGTCTGCTTGAAAGAATGAAGAATATGGTTATACAAGTTGTTATATAATGCATAAGTAGCCTATATAACCAGTGGTATTTCTTTGAAAAGAAGACCATGTTCTTGTTCTTTATGAGAAGTGGTTTTATTTAATTTGAATTTAAAGGCGTGTTGTGTGTCACCGCAGTTAAATTGGTGTCTATCATGATATAACCTTAATCTCAAACCTATATAATGAGTTTGGAATTTTTAAAGAAATGCTTAATAAATGCACTGTAACTAAACCCATTCGATTTTAGCCGACTAAATTTACTGTATTAGTTGACTAAAACTAGAATAAACTAAAGCAATTCAGATGACTAAAATATGACTAAAACTAAATGGCATTTTAGTCGAAAGACTGACGAAATCAAAATTTGCTGTAAAATTAACACTGGTTGCGAGCTGGACTCGAACCCTGGTTTATGGGGCGTGGCAGGTGAATGAGAGGTGTGTGGGATCTTGTGTCCAGGGTTCTTCAGATAAGCCGGTCTGATCCCGAGAGCAGGCGTCTGCTGCAGGAGATCACGCAGGAACCGGACTCGTCCTCCTGCAGCTCTCTGCTGGATCCTGTGCGTCTGGACTGGGTCAGATACTGGGACAGAGACACGCAGAGCTCCATCCTTCTGTCCCGACTGCAGCCGCCTGGTCAGTTCATCACAGCTCAACACTTCGAGAGTCACGCAAGCAGTGTTGGGGAATAAAGCAATAAGCCCCAAGAAGCCGTGGTTTACAGTGAATTTATAACGGCTAAGGGGTGTTGTTAGACGTAGAGTAATTTACAACAGCTTCGAACGTGGCTCAGCCAATCAGAATCAAGGACCGGAACTCTCTGTTTTATAAAGTTACTTTTAAAAGTAATGCATCACAATAGTGAGTTACTCCCTAAAAAAGTAACTAATTGCATTACTTACAGTGTTGGGGAATAACTAGTTACACGTAATTTAATGACAAAATAAATAACCGTAAACAGTTGCAGTTATTGAGAAAAAATGTGTAATTAAATTACAGTTATGAAAATGTTCCCACACACCCACATACAGATTTAATAGATTTCTTCCATAAATTGCAGTGAAACCAATGTATCAGGAGTTTAGGACACATGCTTATTCAATAACTGTTTTATTTGTTTATGTATATGCTTTTATTTATTTTTTTAATTAACTGTTTTTTTTCCAAGGCATTGTTAGATGCTAGTGCTTTCTGTCATGGCTATGCAAAGATTTGATTTCAAAAACAGTATCATAGCTATTAAACTACTTCTTGTTATGATATTAAATCTGTATTTAACCTCAGAACGATCTCAAAGTAAGAGGCGCTAAAATCTTGTGGTCGCTGTGCTTTAAAATTAAATTATTGTAATCTTAATTCAAGTAATGAAGGATTTTGAGAGTCTGATAATAATCAGTGTTGAGCACTATTGTTAACCCTGCCTGATTTAAATGTTTCAAAATGATTAACATTTGAAAACATCCATTAGAAATTTAGAAAAGTAATCAAATGTAATCAGTTACTTTAATAATTGAAATAGTTACACTACGCATTACGTTTTAAGTAGGGTAACTTGTAATCAGTAACCTATTACATTTCCAAAGTAACCTTCCCAACACTGATCACTTAGTTACTTTTTAATGGAACGTAGTGCGTTACGTTACTTTTTCAGGTTAAAATTAATTTCCGACACACAGAACTTTTTTTTTTTATTATTATTTAATTAATTTGTCAAGCTTGTGTCAAAACAAGTCATATTTCACCTCAAAATCTTCTGTATGGTAAGGATGTGTTTGATATGGTGCTGTATGGTAAGGATGTGTTTGTTGTGTTTGATATGGTGCAGTATGGTAAGGATGTGTTTGATATGGTGCTGTATGGTAAGGATGTGTTTGTTGTGGTGCTGTATGGTAAGGATGTGTTTGATATGGTGCTGTATGGTAAGGATGGGTTTGTTGTGTTTGATATGGTGCTGTATGGTAAGGATGTGTTTGTTGTTGTGCTGTAGCTCAGGGTTCGTGGGATGCCGCTGTTCTGTGGTCGTATCTCACCTCTCTGCATGATGGTGTCCGAGCCTCGGCGTGGGTTTGCAGCTCGATCGCGACTGACGTCCCCCGCTGGCCTGCGCTCGAGCCGCACGTCATCAACCACAGCAGCCGCTGCGGACAGTACCTGCGTGATCAGATCCTGGACCTGCTCGCCCGGTCAGAGCCGCTCACATTCACACCAAATACAAATGCATCCAGAGGAGACTGGAAGCATGTTTAGTGTGTGTGACCCTGGAACACAAAACCAGTCACAAGGATCAATTACTCGAAATTGAGATTTATGCATCATCTGAAAGCTGAATAGATAATCTTTCCATTTATGTATTGTTTGTTAGGACAATATTTGGCTGAGATACAACTATTTGAAAATCTGGAATCTGAGTGTGCAAAAAAATCTAAATATTGAGAAAATCATCTTTAAAGTTGTCCAAATTAAGTTCTTAGCAATGCATATTAATAATCAAAAATTAAGTTTTGATATATTTACGGTAGGAAATTTCCAAAATATCTGCATGGAACATGATCTTTACTTTAATATCCTGATGATTTTTGGCATAAAACAAAAATCAATAATTTTGACTCATACAATGTATTGTTGGCTATTGCTACAAATATACCTTATGACTGCTATTGTGCTCCAGGGTCACAACTGACTAGGGCTGCGACGATAAATCGATTCTGAGATCTTCCGAATGCATCGCGATTCTCTCTGAAATCGATTCTGAGCTTAGTTTTTTACAGCAGATGGCGCTCTACTCTAGTTTTTATCCGCTCACTCAAATGCTCACGAAGAAGAGCGTTCGGCTGAGTCTATAATTTCACCTCGGCTCAGAATGCTTTTTATGAACGATTATTTTAGGTTCAAGTGTGTGTAAGGATTTGGAAACGAGCAGAGTACGGCTGTTTCTAAAGCATGCAGTGTTCAAAACTAAGCTCAGAATCAACTCGAGAAAGAATCGCGATGCATTGGGAGAATCTCAGAACCGATGCTGAATCAGTTCTCGATTCGTGATGCATCGATTGATTTTCCCAGCCCTATATTCGAGCTCAAAGCTCTGATGTTAGTCTGTTTGTGTTCAGACAGGACCTGTTTGTGCAGTCGGAGATGGAGGACTTCCAGCAGTTGCTATGGCGACTGGGTCAAGCCGGAGGAGTGATGCATCATGGGAATGATCCTCCTGTCCCACAGGAGTTTCACCAGCGCTTCGTCCTGCACTGTCTGGAGAACAGCCTGCAGTACCTGCTCTACTGCTACCTGGAGCACTACAGGTGAGACGCTATATGGCCAAAAAGTTATCACCATACTGTTTTTTTTTTCATATCAGTTGATATCGATAATTATCGCGATAAATGTCAAATCTTTATTTATTTCAAGTTTAAAGCCAGATTTTTGCTCCAAAGTGAAAGTTTGTTGAAACCAGACAATAAATTAGTTTCTGCACCTTCTAATGAGTGACATTGTTTCAAATCAAGAAACAGGTTTGGGTTGCCTGATAATATTAATAATAATAATATAACTTTTTTGTCTCTTACAAATGCACATTCGATAGTAGCTTGAGTTAGGATGCAGATGTACATTTTTGTTCATTATCAAAATCAGTAACATCTCTAAAAATTGTAGCAACCTCATTTTTATATGGTTAAATTGAATTATTCTGATTTTTTATTTTTTTTTAATTAATCATTGGTCTCCGATAGTAGCATGCATTTAAATCATTATAATCACAGTTAAAACCACACATAGCACCTCAATATATTTTAATATTAGTTATATATTAGTAAATGAACTGTGAACTAACAAACATCATAATTTTTATTAACTTGTATGTATGTGTGTGTAAATACTTATACTAAAATGTTTAATTATTTGTTTATTTAATCATTTTTGTTTTAGCTTTTGACATTTCAATTTATAATATTATTTTTATTTAATAACATGTTTTAATATGTTAGTATTTATTACGTTTTTTGTGAAGCTCTTTTCCATATAAAATTTATTTTGTATATTGTATTATATTAAATAATGTAATTATTTTTATTCTATAATTTTTTTCTTTTAATTTGATTTTTAAATTTATATTATTGTTATTATTCATAAATTATTTATGAAGCTCTTTTCCAGAAACACTGTGTATATAATTATTAAAAACTTTTATATTTTATATGTAATTATTTTTATTTACTTATTTCTGTTTATTTTATTTTTTCTTTATTATATTTTTTTATTTATATTATTATTATTATTATTATTATTATTCATTTTTATGAAGATTTTTCCAGAAATACAGTGTACATAATTATTAGTTTAATTTCTTATTTTATTTGTAATTTATTTGTTTTATTAAATTATTTTTAATTCATATTATTATTATTATTATTATTAGTCATACATTTATGAAACTCTTTTCCATTAAATTTTTTAATTTGTATAACTATTTATAAATTATTTATGAAGCTCTTTTCTGTGAGATGTTTTTCGGCAGGACATTCAGGACTCGTCTCGTCTCATTGTGGATGTGTTTTTCAGGTTAACTCCCGGGAATTGCCCGCTTCTGACCGACAGAAACCTGTTTGAGAGTTTCCCCTGGTTTGAGATGATGCTGAAATTACAGAAAATCACCAGAGACCTTAAAGGTGAGCGTATTTTTATGTGACTGTGGAAATAGTTTTCTAAAACCATAGAACAGCTGTCCGTCAGTTTATCTCAAGACATCTGAAAGATTTTGTGACAGTATCTTAGGTATATAAACTGATGCTTTTAATTTCTCAGTGGAAAATAATTAATTCTTGAAATTAATTTCTTGAAAAATAACCAAATATTTATAGTTTTAAAATATTAAAATAAATATAAGCATTTATC